TTGTTTCTGATGCAATATTTGGTCTCTGGATTTCTCACCCTATTAATTAATGATAGAAATGATAAATAATAGCAAGGACACTCCCAAACACCTGCCATGCCCAAGTTCCTTAAAGAGTTTTGCTTATGCATTACCTCCCAATAGCAGGGTGAGAATGGGATGTAATGACAAAGTTGATGAAGTTCCAAGATTCAAATAAGCCCCAAGTGATGGTGGCATTAGTTGAATATTTTCATATAGATTACTTTATTTAGTTATCTTAATTTTTTATGTATGAACAATGCATAATTAGCCTTAATTTTAGCTGTGGAAACTGAGGCACAAAGTATTTAGTCATGTGTACAAGGTAATGCATATAAAAAGTAGAGAAGTCAGAATTGGAATCCAGACCACTTGATTCCCCAGGAGAGTTCTTCCTACAATGCCATAGCTAGCTGCCTGATTTTTTTTTTACAATAGTATGGATGTACTGTGTACATTTGCACATTTCTTTTGCTCAACTCCAGAAGAGCTTAATCCATATGATCCCCCAGCCTTCAATCCTACCACATATTGTCCATCCCCTCTAAAACAATTCCATGGGAGAGATGCGAGCCAGAACTAAATTCACAAATGGTGAGGTCCGATTTCATTTCCTTTGGAGTTTTATATTCAGAGCAGAATGTCCCAAGCATATCATGTTGGGGGAAGTATCGAATACGGTTATCTAATTGTTTATGGGCCTTTTTGTGAAATGTGTCCCTTGCCAACTCTGAACCTTTAAAGCCATGGTTTGTTGTTTTTTTTTCAAAGAATTGTTTCTTTAAACTGCCAGACTTTGTGGAACATCAATCTGGTAATTAGCAAGACATTTTCTTCTCACCTTTGACAAATTTAGCCAGTTACTCCTAGAATAAAGCCATTTTACATTTTACAAAAGGTATGCCAACCATTTTTCATTTGTTACAGAATTTAAGATAATTTGTATAATAAAAGTTGATCTCAGTTATAGTGCATTTATGTCTTCTGCTGTAGTAAAAAAAACAACAGCATATTTACCATCTCGTGTGTAAGTGTACAGTTCAGTTGTGTTAAGTACATTGACACTCCTAGGGAACACATCTCTAAAACTTTTTCATCTTCGGTGAAACTCTGTGCTTCTCAGATACTAACTCTCTCTGCCCAGCTCTTGACAATCACCTTTCTACTTTCTGTTTCCGTGATTTTGACAACTTTAGCTACTTTTAAAGAATGGAGTCATATAGTATTTGTCCTTTTGTAACTGGTTTGTTTCATGTCCTCAAGATTCATCCATATTATTCCATATGACAGGCTCCCCTTTCTTAAAGCTGTTAAGAGAGTAATGACCAAAAATTCTGTACATGTTCAGTATAGATTAAAAAAAATTCTGAATACTTTCATTCCAGGATTGATTGAGTCTGCTATGTAAAGCCCATCTATTAATTTGCCAGTGGACACCTGAGTCATTTCCACTCCTTGGCTGTTGTGAATAATGTTGCAATGGACATGAGTGTGCAAATTTCACTTTGAGATCTTGCCTTGAATTATTTTGGGTCTACTCTCAGAAGTAGGATTGCTGGGTGATACAGTGATTGTGTTTTTAATTTTTTGAGAAGCTTCTGAACTGTTTTCTGTAATGGCCACACAATTTATATTCACAGCAGCAATGCACAAAGTTCCAGTTTCTCCATCCTTGCCAACACTTGTTATTTTCTGTGCTTCTGACCGTGACCATTCTAATAGGTATGAGGGCCACAACTCAGCATAGTTTCTGTTTGTAGAGCTGTTATGATTAGTGGCGTTGAACATTTTTATGCGTTTGTTGGTCATTTGTATATTTTCTTTAGAGAATTGTCTATTTAAGTCCTTTGCCCATTTTTAATTAGGTCATGTTGTTGTTGAGTTCTGGCTGTTAACCCTTTATCGGATATATGTTTTCAAAATATTTCTCTGTAGGGAGAAATCTTGTTGATTGCTTCTTTTCATGCACAGAAGTTTTTAAGTTTGAAATTATCCCACTTGTCTACTTTTCATTTTGTTAGCCAGGCTTTTGGTATTATATATAAGAAATCATTGTCAACTTCAGTGTCATGAAGCTTTTCCTCTGTTTTCTTCTAGGAATTTTATAGTTGTAGGTCTTATATTTAGGTCCTTAGTGCATTTTGAGTTAATTTTTGCATGTGATATAAGTTCATTCTTTTGCATGTGGATATCCAGTTTTCCCAACACTATTTGTTGAAAAGACTATCCTTTCCCAATTGTTGTAATCTTGGCACCCTTGTTAAAGATTATTTTAACAAAGATCAATATACAGAAGGGTCTATTTCTGAGCTCTGTTCCATTGGTCTGTATGTCCTTTTGTGTTATAGAAGTTTCATTCTCTGTTTTCAAAGGAGTCAAATTCAGGTTTGGGAGAAGAAATGCCTTTCTTCTATATTTGATGTGATATCAGACAGTTCTGAATTATTGTGGTGTGTGTGTGTAAGACAAGTTTGAACATTTCAATATAATTATCTCATCGTTTAATTTAAACTAAGATGGAGCATTTCTCATGATAACCTTCAATCTATGGCCCCAAAAACTATTTATTTATTAATAATAAACTATTTGGGGAGTCTCTCATGCAAATTTTAATACATATTTTACTTCTTGATACATCTCTTTAAATTCAATGAAACATAAAAAATAGTTGCAATTTAATCTAGTTATGATTTCTATTTTGTATTAAGATTGAGGAATAACCTATGCCAGAAACTTTGTTAATTTTGCTGTGGCCCGTGCACTTGTATTGGTGGAAACAGAAACAAGAGTGGAATAAATTTATGGAGTTAATGATATTTGGAAAATGTTATTCTCTGAGGTATGTTTTCATTTTATAGAATTTCCTGATAAAAGTCAGAGTCGGGTAGTTTTATAATATTGAAAAGTTTTGCAGATACATAATAAATGGCAAAGTAACCAGATTTGGGGATGAAGGGAAGGGAGAGGAATGCCAAATGTTTCTTCCACACAGACTAGCCAGCTTTCAGCATCATGCAACACATTCATTTTATCTCCAACTTGCCAGAATCTGGAGTGGATGATTTTATCTTCTTATACCAATGACATGATTTGTGTACTTTGTAAAACAACTGAAAAGTTGTAGGATGTCTTTTATTTCTACTGAAATATGACTTAACTATAACTTTTAGTCCTGGCTCTTTGCATTATTATACTTTTTGGTCAATCACGGGATAACTATGCTTTGCAAAGTAAAAAGATAACATGAAGTGCTAACGGGAAGTGAGAGCTTGTTATATGCTAATCACTGAGCACCAGGCTATAAAACTCATTATGTGCACTGTTTTAATGAATCTTTCTAAAAAGCACTAGCCTCCAAAGTCCCTTCAGTACTCAAAGCTGAAGTGCATTATAACAGGAAAAATTACTTTTATTAATTAGCAAGTGACTGACCCATTCTTGGGAAAGCAAGACCAACACTAGATCCATAATGGCTTTTTATACCTGATTGGAATCTAGAAAACTAGAACCAGTAACCACTAATATTATCTTTATTAGCCTATGAACAATACATACCTGACCTCAGAAGTTTTTACTAAAACCAATAAATAATGATCAATAAAATCAAATAGCCTCAGTTTTTCCCCTTTTACTTGTCCTTTGACAACCACTATTTAGCTAAGACTAAAATGGATGAGAGACACAATGACATAATAAGTATAATTAAGTTTTGTGAGCATTTAATATTTAAAATATATGCTAGTCACCACACTAAGAGCTGTGAGACCAGCTCTGTTTTATAAATTGAAGAAACTGAGAGATTAAATAACATATCCATGGTCTATAGCTGTTAAGTAGCCAGTGGTCACTCCCATGAGATTCTTGCAACCTTGTATGTGAGATACGTATTTTTTTTTTCAGTACTGAGGATTGAACCCAAGGCCTCATGCATGGTAGTAAAGTGTTCTACCACTGAGCTGTATACCCAATCTGAGGTATTTTTTTATATACACATATATTGAGTACATTTGTGATTCTTTAATGAAGACCTGTGATATGCTGTTTTGATTTATTCAATCAAGATCATTTGTGGCTATTAGAATATAGGAAAACCTGATGTCTTCCTTTCATGGTTGTATTAAGTTAACTTTTAACATAAAAATAATTGAGCTAAAAAGGGTTTGACATGGCATACACCTGCATACACAGCTACTTGAGGCAGAGATCCAGTAACTGAAGACCAATGCAGGCAAAAAGTCAGTGGGTCCCCCAGATCCCTAAGGAGAGCATGGTAGTACACATTTGTAAGCCTAGCTGTGAGGGAAGGACATGTAGGAGGATCTTAGTTCAAGGCTGGCCTGGGCAAAAACATGAGACAAAATCCAGAAAGGAACTAAAGCAAAAAAAAAAAAAAAGGTCTAGGGTGTAGTTCAAGTGTACAAGGCCCTCAGTTTTCAAACCTAGTGTGCCCAAAAACAATAATGATAATAATTAAGCTAGAAACATTTTGCTGCATATTTCTACAAAATGTAACATTTGGGAAAGAAAGAATTCTGATAAACAAATGAGGTATTGATAAAATGTAAATAATTTAAAATGCACTAAGTCTTTAATCAACTATCTTCCATCTTTGGCTTTTACTAGGAATAAACTTTTAACTTTTTTGGATATATTAAATATCCAAAAAATATATATTAAAAAAATATATATATCCATTAAATATGTGTAGTTTCTAAAATAATCTTTGTTTTTTAAAGAAATGACATCTGTAAACTGTTCTGGGTATTCCTAGTAAGAGTGGGTATTTGTGTATATATGTGTGTGTTTAATGACTTTGTCCAGAAGTACATGCAGTTTAATTGAGAAGTGAAAGAACACTAATTAGTTTTAGTGTAGTAAGTGGGATACGGTAAGAGTGTGCTGCAGTTTAAAGACTTGTGTAGTTATTTTATAAGCACTTTGAACATGTCTTTTATTAGACTTGTGAGTGACTATATCCTTTAAGTCAACAAAAGAAAGGTTATAATGTAGAAATTATGTGGAATAAGCATAACATCTTTGCTAATCTAATTTTCAGACACATCTCCAGACTTCAGTTTGGGCGAAGTGACTCACACGAAGAGCTCTGCATATGCCTGGAATTGAGACACACATTTAAAAGACATCAACTTGCCTTTTGAAAAGTCCAAAACAAACATTCCTTCAGACTCTGGAATTCTGTACATTTCAACCGATACTTGCTTGAATGTTACATTTTCCGCTTGCTGTCCTCCTTACTGCTATATAGTGTTTGCATTTTGTTAAAACTGAGCGGTGTCAGGAGTTGAGCTCATTCAGCAAGCCAGCATGGCTAGGATGAGTGTTGTAGGAGCAGCTTGCCGGATGGTGCTGGGCTTGCTAATGACTTCATTTGCTGAGTCTTCCATCCTGAATACCGAGTGTCCACAGCTTTGCGTTTGTGAAATTCGTCCCTGGTTTACCCCACAATCCACGTACAGAGAAGCCACCACTGTTGATTGTAATGATCTCCGCCTAACAAGGATTCCCAGCAACCTTTCCAGTGACACACAAGTGCTTCTCTTACAGAGCAATAACATTGCAAAGACAGTGGATGAACTTCAGCAGCTTTTCAACTTGACTGAGCTAGACTTCTCCCAAAACAACTTTACAAATATTAAGGAGGTAGGGCTGGCAAACTTGACCCAGCTCACTACTCTGCATTTGGAGGAAAATCAGATTACGGAGATGACTGATTACTGTTTGCAAGACCTCAGCAACCTTCAAGAACTCTATATCAACCACAACCAGATTAGCACTATTTCTGCTAATGCCTTCTCTGGCTTAAAAAATCTTTTAAGGCTCCACTTGAATTCCAACAAATTGAAAGTGATTGATAGTCGTTGGTTTGATTCTACACCCAACCTGGAAATTCTCATGATTGGGGAAAACCCTGTGATTGGAATCCTGGATATGAACTTCAAACCCCTCTCAAATTTGAGAAGCTTAGTTTTGGCAGGAATGTATCTCACTGATATTCCTGGAAATGCCTTGGTGGGCTTGGATAGCCTTGAGAGCCTATCGTTTTATGATAACAAATTGGTCAAAGTCCCTCAACTTGCCCTGCAAAAAGTTCCAAATTTGAAATTTTTAGACCTCAACAAAAATCCCATTCACAAAATACAAGAAGGAGACTTTAAAAATATGCTTCGTTTAAAAGAACTAGGAATCAACAATATGGGGGAACTTGTTTCTGTGGACCGCTATGCCCTGGATAACTTGCCTGAACTGACAAAGCTAGAAGCAACCAATAACCCCAAACTATCTTATATCCACCGCTTGGCTTTTCGAAGCGTTCCTGCCCTAGAAAGCTTGATGTTGAACAACAATGCCTTGAACGCCGTTTATCAAAAGACAGTGGAATCCCTTCCCAATTTGCGTGAAATCAGTATCCACAGCAATCCTCTGAGGTGTGACTGTGTCATCCACTGGATTAACTCCAACAAAACAAACTTCCGCTTCATGGAGCCCTTATCCATGTTCTGTGCCATGCCACCCGAATACAGAGGGCAACAGGTGAAGGAAGTCTTAATCCAGGATTCAAGTGAACAGTGCCTCCCAATGATATCACATGACACATTCCCAAATTATTTAAACATGGACATCGGCACAACACTTTTCCTAGATTGTCGGGCTATGGCTGAGCCAGAACCTGAAATTTACTGGGTCACTCCCATTGGAAATAAAATAACTGTGGAAACCCTTTCAGATAAATACAAGCTAAGTAGTGAAGGTACCTTGGAAATATCTAACATACAGATTGAAGACTCAGGAAGATATACATGTGTTGCCCAGAATGTCCAAGGGGCGGACACTAGAGTGGCAACAATTAAGGTTAATGGAACCCTTCTAGAAGGTACCCAGGTGCTGAAAATATATGTGAAGCAGACAGAATCTCATTCCATTTTAGTGTCCTGGAAAGTCAATTCCAACGTCATGACATCAAACTTAAAATGGTCATCCGCCACTATGAAGATTGACAATCCCCACATTACATATACAGCCAGGGTCCCAGTAGATGTTCATGAATACAACCTAACACACCTGCAGCCTTCTACAGATTATGAAGTGTGTCTCACAGTGTCCAATATTCATCAGCAGACTCAAAAGTCATGTGTAAATGTCACAACCAAAACTGCTGCCTTTGCACTGGACATCTCTGATCAAGAAACCAGCACAGCCCTTGCTGCAGTAATGGGGTCCATGTTTGCTGTTATTAGCCTTGCATCCATTGCCGTATACATTGCTAAAAGATTTAAGAGAAAAAACTACCACCATTCACTTAAAAAGTATATGCAAAAAACCTCTTCAATCCCACTAAATGAGCTGTACCCACCACTCATTAACCTCTGGGAAGGCGATAGCGAGAAAGACAAAGATGGTTCTGCAGATACCAAGCCGACCCAAGTTGACACATCCAGAAGCTATTACATGTGGTAACTAGTAGATATTTTGCTTCTGGTAGTAAGGAGCACAAAGACGTTTTTGCTTTATTCTGCAAAAGTAACAAGTTGAAGACTTTTGTATTTTTGACTTTGCTAGTTTGTGGCAGAGTGGAGAGGACGGATGGATATTTCAAATTTTTTTAGTATAGCGTATCGCGAGGGTTTGGACACAGCTGGCAGTGACTCTAGGCTTCCAGCTTGTGTTTGGTTTTTATTCTTATCATTATTATGATTATTATTATATCATTATTATTATTATTTTATTTTAGTTATGCTAAACTCAATAATGCTGTCTAAACTACAATGCTGAATAAAATGATTAATGACAGGTTGGGGTTCCCCTGTGCTTTTACCAGTAGCCTGACCCCTTCTGAAGCCATGAGTAGAAAGTACCATGTCCTCCAAAAAGATAACGTGCAGTTTTGAAGCAGCATTAAACCTTTTGTAGCAATCTGGTCTACAGACTTTTAACTTCAGAAGCTAAGGCTAGACTTGCTACCTTCACTGAATGATGTTAGTTGACTGTACTGTAATGTTGTATCAACTGAATTGAATGTTTGCCTTACAGCAACGACTTTTCTTTCCTTCTTCCTCTTTCTTTTTCTTTCTTTTTTTTCTTTTAGTAATAGTCTTAGAACAAGCTAACAGGCAATAGAAGTATGTAAGTCAGATTTTTTTTAATGTAACAAGCTACATGTTAATTGTTACTGTATTCTTTTTATCTTTAGTAGACACTTTTAAAAGAAAAGATAATTTTGTTGTGTTTAACTCACCAACATGTGGTGTATAATGAAGACAGACTATAATAAATTAGTTTTGTTCTGATTTTTTTAGAACATTTGCAATAATGTATCATTTATAGTTCTTGGTAGTTGCAGTGACATTTTCACATCCATGGAAATAACAATCAAAATAAATCAGCTATAGCAAGTTGTCTTTTAAAGATAGGCCCTAAAATGTTTTGAATTCTTTTTCTAATGAAAGAAATATCTATTTTAATTAAAACATTCTAATGAGCAGGATTTCTATATTTTAAATATTACTGTCCAGAACCTAATGGGGGGCTGTTCATATAATGAAAAAGAAAGGTGTTTTACTATATCCCATGCATGACTAAACACAGTCATATATTTATGAATACATTGAATATGTCATTCTTTTTTCTCTAATGGTTAAGACCTGATTTATTTTACAGGATATCCATCCAAGTATAAAATTTAGAACTTTGGAGTATTTCAAAATGTATGATGGTACTTTTTAACAGTAGTCTATATGCTTAGACTCATATTAGTCTGTATTTCAGTGTGGAGATATCTGCTGAGACAAGTCTATGATTAATAGAAGACAGAACAACTTCTGTACAGTTGGCATTTTTCATCCAAATAATATATACATAGTTTAGCAGAATTAAATATTTCAATATTCCATGTGAAATACTTGTATAAAGTTTAGAACAGAGGAAGCTAGGTTTACATAGAACTAGTTCCACAGAGGGTAGAGGAAGGTGATTTAAAAGTATAGGTAGAGGACAAAAGACCCATTTGAAAATTCAAATTGATAAGCCAGGGAAATAAAGAAAAGCTGTTCCAGATGGCAGCTGCTGTGGACACACTGTCATGCCAGGAATGATGAGATTGTAAAAAGGGACTGAGGAAACAGGTGCCAGATGAGCAAAAGCAAGGACAAGGGAAGGAAAAAAAGTCCAAATGAGGTGGGCTGAGAGATTTCTTTCATTGTCAGACAATATGTTTTGTAAAACACTTAAAAGATTGTCACTTTCCTTCCCATTCTAAAGGGAGTGGGGAGAGAATTTCAGGTGCTAAAACAAGTAAGGTGCAACAGAACAATGAAGTATCTGAGCTAGAAGCATTTTTCCCACTGCCTTCACTTGTTGAGAAAAACCTAGGCTCAGGGAGGGCTTTCCTGCCCATTCAGAACTTCACACTCCATGGATCTCTCCAGGCCTGGCAGCCTGCTAGACTACCATGCAGGGCTCCTCTTTTATATTTCTAACCAGTCTCTGATGACCCTGCTTCAAAAATGCAGCATTATCTTTAAGGTCCCATTTACTCAGAATACATATTAGCACAAGATCAGAGAATCAGGAAAATGTCTGCATTGTTATTTCTGCCAGGTCCATGTGGGAAACAACTGGAGATGCTTTGGAGGCAACTGTGGGGCAAGCCCTACTGGACAGTTCTTGTCTTCAAACATCTGCAGGGTAGAAGACCACCTAACAATCTCTCGTAAATCTGCAAACCATGAAAAGGCAGCACTGAGGCATTAGACCCAGGCAGCTTGCCGATGTGCAAGGAGGCTTCAGTTATCCCATAAGGCAATGATTCGAACCTAGCACAGAATGAGGGCTTAAATATTAGTAAAAATAAATGAAGGAAAGAAACAATCATTCTTTTCCATTCTGAATACATAGCAAATACAGGGAAATCCAAGTGTTTTTGTCAATGATATCTTTTGCCAGGTCAGTTTAGGGGATTTTTTTTTTCCTTTACTTTAAAAAAGTACTACCAGGGCTGGTGGGGGTGACTCAAGTGTCAAGAGCACCTGCCTAGCAAGCGTGAGGCCCTGAGTTCAAACCCCAGTGCTGCCAAAAAAAAA